GAACCACTCTTTAGTAATCAAAAGAAAGAAAAGTAAATTTACGTGGACAGCGGAAGCAAATACAGCTTTTGAAAGATTAAAAGAAGCGCTTATCAATGCCCCTGTTTTAAATTCCCGGAGGGGGACGAAAACCTGGAAATTGCAGCAGATGCGTCGGACTATGCGGTGGGTGCGGTTCTTATGCAAAATAGCCATCCTTTGGCATTTTTTAGTAAAACGTTGAATCAGACACAAAGGAATTATACAGCTACAGAAAGAGAAACATTAGCCGTATTAATGGCTGTACACAAATTTCGAGTTTATTTCGGCAAAGCGCCAGTAACAGTCTTTTCGGATCATGCGGCTGTTGGTAGACTTTACTCGGGAAAAAACCTAACGCCCAGGTTAATAAGATGGGCTTTAAAACTCCAAGAATATAATCTAATCAATAAAATATAAACCGGGTAAGGAAAACAATGTAGCTGACGCACTTTCTCGTATAAAACTGGACGATGAAGGAATGAACTTAAATGCGCTGTGTTGACTTCAAAAATTTTAGATTCTAGAGATACGATTATCGCTGAACTGAAAGCTGATCCTGAATTTGGAAATATCTATGCATATTTTTGAAAGACCCCGAAAGCTTTGAGCACACAGATATCGATGCGATAAGAAATAGAGCAAAAACTATGAAATAATAGATAATTTATTATTTATACGAAAACAACAAACGAAAATCTTGAGTACAAACCAGTCATCCCAGCCTCGCTTCGATTAAGCATTTTGAAGGAATTACACGAAGCGAAAAACAGCGGGTCCATTTAGGGGTCAGAAAGACTTTAAAAAGGGTACGCGAGGCGGTATATTTCCCGCAATTATACAAAATAGTAACGGCGTATGTCAGGTCCTGCAATCAATGTCAGTTAATAAATGATATTAATTACAGCCCGGCCGGGTACTTAAATAGCATTCGCGCTACATTTCCGAATGAAATTTTAGGCATAGATCTTCTTGGTCCCTTTCCCCAGAGCGAGTTAAATAAAAATCGTTTTCTTTTAGTAATAGTAGATCATTTTTCAAAATGGACAGAAATTGTTCCACTTAAACGCGCGTCAGCCAAAACAGTCGCAGATGCATTCTTACACAGATACATTTTAAAATACGGTGCACCGATAAAAGTCATTAGCGATAACGGAAAACAATTCATTAGTCAAATATTTGAAAACATATGCAATGGACTTGGCATACGCCATATCAAAATGGTTCCGTATAGACCACAGGCAAACATAGCAGAAAGAGTTAATAAAAACATTGTAAAAATAATTCGCAGTTACGTTAGCACACATCACAAGCGCTGGGATGGCTACATAAATGAATTAGCTTATGCTTTAAGAACGGCAAATCACGATACTACGGGAAAAACCCCAGCAGAATTATTTTTAGGCCGAAAGTTAATTACGCCTTTAGATAAATTATTCTTTGTGCAACAAAGAGAGCAAGAATTTAAACAAAAGATGTGCAAAAACTTATTGATCAGGCGCTTAAAAGCTCGGATACGGCAAGAAATAGGCAAAATTATATTATGATAGAAACGCGGAAATCTGTAAAGCAAAGTCCCGAACCAGGTGAAAAAATACTATAATCCAAATGATTTTGAAATCCTTAAAAGTTTCTTGCAGGACTCAAGTCGTAAAAAAGAAGTAGAAGGTCCAGAAATAACGTCACCCGTTCCACCACCCAAGAAGCAGAGAACTGAAGAGAGACCTAGCCCTTCTACAACCCGGACGACGGTACCAAAAGAAGAAAACGAAAACTTTCAGACTCCAGCATTTAAGAAAAACAAGAAAGCAATGACCGCCGCGTAAAGAAACCTTGGTAAAGAGGAAAAACACCACCTACAACGTATCGCAGTAGAAATTATACATCAAGGAGAACGCTCCCAGGGCCAGAGAGTCAGGTGCAAACAAGGCCGCCGTTCCGGAAACTGAAACGACAGCAGGAGGAACGAAAAGACCACCACCAACAGAAGAAATTCAAGAAGGACTCCAGACCGGAGGACGTCAAGACCAGCCGTCCAGGGAGAAAACGGAAAAGACAACAACCCGACGACTTACTCCCAAGAGGCCAGCATGCAGAGGACGCAAAAGAAAAAATTAACGTGGACGACACTCGGAGGTCATTAAGGAGAAGATTGACGTCCATGAAACCTATAACGTGGGGAACAATTTGCCAGAAAAGAATGACGGAGTTTCAATCATCGAAAACTCAAAGATAAGTTAAAATCTTCTAATTTTTTTTTCTTTTGTTTCGAAATGTTATGCGTAAATACGAAGTTCTATGTTTTGACGGAAGTCAATCTTGGTTGTTTTGACGGTTCTATGTTTTGACGGAAGTCAATCTTGGTCTGTCTTGGTTGAGACTTAGTTTTGTTTTACTTTATTTAGCTAAGGCAAAAGTATTATTTTCTTTAAGTATAAAAGCTAAGAACAAGCATTTTCTGTTGGTCGAAAGACTAATTCTGTTATGTTAAAGCCAAAATTTGGCCGAAGATAAAAATAACTTCGTATTCTTGTATTAATAAGAATTTTAGTTTCAGTGCCGCCAGCTTGGCGAAGAATGAGTAAAGTAAAAATTTATTTTCTCTTATTCATTTTATGGTAAATTGTAAAAATCATATGTATTAGAATTTTGTAAATATACGTAAATACTTGAAAGTTATGTAAAAGTAGAATTTAGTCTAGAAGCATAAAATTTTAAATGGTAAAAGTAAATGCTGAAAAGCAATGAATTCAAATTTAAGTATTAAACTGTAGATAAAATCATGCTTTAGAGCGAAAGCCTGCATGTCTTTCGCTCTATGTCTTCGCTCAAGGGGGAATTTAGAATGAATGTATTTTGTAGGGTTCTCCACCTACACTTGAATTTTAAGAATGTTAAAGTAGCTCATCGAGTTGTAGAATGTCGAGTCAGGTGTGTCTATTTGGTCGTTGAATTCTAACAAATCATTTGGTTAGGGGAAGTGTTGCAATACTAAAACACGAATATTCCCGTTTGACACAACACATGGTATTGAGCCAGGGTAAAGTTAAATTAATGCTTGAATACTTGAATGAATGTGAATTAAGCAGTAACTAAGGAAAACAAATCGTTTAAAAACAAAAACTTAGTCAGTCTGGAGAAAGTGTAAATTATAATGTATTTAGAAAGATACTGATACTTATTCCTTCCAGATGCTGGAAGGAAGAGAACAAGATTGATTGCTGAAGTCCAGGAAAAGTTGCTGTAAGAAGAGAGAAATAAGTATACACAGAGGTTTATTATACCTTTTGTGAAATAACAAATTTTTTTTGTGTTAACGAGGCTCTTAAGGTTTAGTTCAGAATTGTAGAAACTTTTCAACAGGTTGTTTGTAGGACCTGCTTCCAAGTTTTCCAAATTCTGGCAGCGGCAAATGTAGGGTTTATATTTATTTTAACTAACATTTATTTTAAGTTTAAACTATCTTTCCTGTCAAGCCTTACTTTCCCCTGGAAATTGCCAATGCCAGAGTATGTAAATTTTAGTAGAACGCGCAAGGATTCAAATTATCAGCGGAAGTATTCTGAGTTAAATAGAAAGGAAACGAGTTCGAAGGGGTGCTTTCTTACTTCACGAGCGCGGAGGTGGCTAGTTAGAAATTGAAGAACCCCGCGTTTCGGCCTGTGTGCTTGCCTCAGCAATTGTTAATCTTTCAACGTAATATTCAGAGTTTGATGAATTATCAGCGGTATTTTAGAACGCGGTGAGGTTAGTTACGTTTAGAGAGCATCGTAGTTAGTTACTTGTTATTATCTTTTTTTAGTTTCTTATTTTTATTTTACCGCTGGGTCGGCGTAGTTTGTGAGCGTCAAGAGCACGCATTTGTAATTTCTAAAGTTGAATAAAAAGGGACTTAAACCCTTCTCAAGACTCTGTCTAATTTCCAGTTTCCAGCAGTCACCACTTTGTTGCGTGCAGGTTGGAAGCGCGCAACTTTACAAAGTCACGTATCCATTTTTCGAAAGCAACAGAGTATATTATTTAAGGTTTTCTACGTGAAATGTGTGTTGTGACTTATCTCACTTGTATGACAGTAACATCAGAATAAGCCCACAAAATTCATCGCAGCAAGGAGAGCAAGATTGCGCCTGTCGTTCGCAAGAGTCTTGAGCATCATAACAAGTGACAGTACGACTTCACTCAGTTCCAAGCCCAATTTTGATGGAGAACTCCCCGGGAAAGACAAGTTAGAGGGTTTCGCAACTCTCTTCCCCTACCACCACCCTCTTGAGAGGACCTTCAGCTCGCCATATATTAAGAATGCTCCCATGCTGCGAAGACGCTATACGTTTACAAACATCCATGCCTTCTCCGAGATTCCAGCACGGACTCTTCAGTACCACAGTAGGCTCCCCTAAACACTATACCATCTGGGCGGCACACGAATGACATATCAACTAGTGTTAAAAATACTTCAATTTGTTTTGAATTAGTAGTTTAAATAAACCAAATGCCCAAAAATGTGAATATGAACGCTTCAATTTGTCCAGAAATGCACTATTATCATTAGAAAGCACATAACAAGCTCAAATCGTTATCATAGTTTCATGTTGTTATAAAGAATGCAAACTGCTCTTAAACTTAATTAACTTAATTTCAGCTCTTAAACTTAATTAACTTAACCCGCGACGACGCGCGTCGGGCCTCCCAGGCTCGGTCGTTACAAAAACATAACACAGAAATTTCTCTGTTTAGTAAAATTTGTCGACGTTCTCAGTAGCTGCGTTCAAGGTCATGTATGTGCCATTCACACGCATTTACGGAATTTATCCCTCCCTCTTTTCTCAGAAACTAGGTAGCTGTGCTTCCCAGGCCCGAGGCGCGCGCTCGCATTGTCATTTTGCGTTGTGAAAGAGATCAGGCAGTTGCAAAAATGTCTCGCTATTTGAGTTACGACGATGAAATGAAAAGTTTACAGAAACTATTAGCTGAAGTGTCGACTGATGAAGTTTCAGTTAATGAAAGAAGACGAAGAAATAGTTGACGAAGAACAGTTTAGTGATCACCGATCGAATTCTGAAGAGGAATTAGACTCAAGCGATGGTTCTAGTAATGAATCAAGTACTTCAGTGTCCGCGAATTGTTATTTTGGCAAAGATAAAGTCACAAAATGGAATAAAAAAGAACCAAGACTGGATGTGAGAACTCGTGCTCACAACATCGTGACAAAATTGCCCGGAAATGTTGGTGAAGCAAAGTTTGTGTCTTCTCCTGTGAATTCTTGGCAACTGCTTATGTATGAAATAATAGTAAAAATTCTAGTAGATTGTACAAACATTTATATCGAATCCATTGCCATCAAATTTGAAAGAGAGAGAGAGAAATGCTCGACGCACAAATATTACAGAAATCAGAGCATTTATCGGTCTTTATTTTGGAAGACTCCACAAAGCTTCTCACGTAAATATTCGCGACCTTTGGGCGACTGACGGAACAGGGCTTGACATTTTCCATATAATAATGTCTTACAAACATTTTTTATTTCTAATAATATGTTTGAGATTTGATGACATAAGAAATCGTCCTTCTAGATGGGAAATTGATAAACTGGCTCCGATAAGAAATGTTTTTAAAAAGTTCGTTGAAAATTGCAAAAACGTTTACAGTCTTGGCGAATACGTCACAATTGATGAAAAATTAGAGCCCTTTCGAGGAAGATGCTCCTTTCGTCAATACATTCTAAGTAAACCTGCAAAATATGGAATTAAAGTTTTTGCTCTAGTTGATGCAAGGACATTTTACACTTCAAATCTTGAAATTTATGCAGCAAGACAACCCACAGGGCCGTATAGCTTAGACAATGGTCCTCCTAAAGTAGTCCAGAGGTTGGTGGAGCCTATTTTGAACTCAGGACGAAACCTTACCGTTGACAAAAGAAAATTACGCTCTTAGGAACAATCAGAAAAAAAAAAAAAAAAAAAAAAAAAGAACTGCCAAAGGAATTTACTTGTGGCAGAAAAAGAGAAGTATATTCATCATTATTTCGATTTCAAAGAAATATGACATTAGTTTCCTACACTCCAAAGAAAAACAAATGCGTTGTTCTGTTGTCCACCATGCATAATGACAGCGCCATCGATTTTTCAACTGGAGAAGCAAAAAAAAAAAAAAAAAAACCTGAAATTATAACTTTTGATAATTTAACAAAGAGTGCTGTAGATGTAGTAGCATCCTTATGTTCATCTTAATATCAATGCATCCTTATGATCGTATCTGTTAGTATTTGTTTGTTTTTGCCTGTATATGTATCTATTCTTGTATTTGTTTTGTATATTTTTATGTATCTGTGTTATTCCAACAGCCATGCACACCCACAAAGTTATTGTCATGCAAACATTGTCAAACAATAATCCTCAGCCCCTTTTGGCATTGTATTGATCTTTAGATCTGTATTATAAACTCCCAAGGCAGCCTCACGGGGCCCCAGGGAGTTGTTATTCCTAGATAGGGGAGGGCGTGGGACACACGCCTGTTTACTTATGTTAAACACCAGGCGTCCCCGTCCTCCGTCACCTGTCACCTGTAGATGTAGTAGATAAAAATGTCATCCACCTATACTACTGCAAGAATTAGCAACCGATGGTCAATGACAATATTCTTCAGTATGCTGAACATTACAGCTATAAATGCTAGAATATTATTGTTATCTGCGGAAACGCCAGCAATGCAATATAGGAAACGAAGTTTATTTATCAAAGAACTTGCATTAGAACTTTTGAAGGATCACATTCAAGAAAGAAGTTCTCAGCAAAATCTTCCACGCGAATTGAGTGAAAAATTAAATTGCAAGTATATGAAATACTGTGAAGAACACCCGGCAGAAAAAACAGAAGTGTTCCAGGAAAAGGTGCCATATGTGTCCTAGTGTAAAGGACCGAAAATCACAAATTTGCTGTGCTAAGTGCGAGAAACATGTGTGCAGTGAACACAGCGCGATTATTTGCAAAAAGTGTGAAATGTAAGTTTTATTTTGAACTTATTTCTGTAAAAATTAATATTGCATAAATTAGTACTAAATTTCATTTGCGCTCAAAAACAAATCAGTTTGATTTTTATTGTTAATGATAAATAATTTCAGTCTTAAATTGTTTTAAAATAAAATGTTATTAGACTTATTGAACTTAAATGTATATTTTTGTATTTTATGCACTCTATTTTTATTATTTAAATGTTTTTATTCAATCAAACAAGCAATTTAATTTTCTTTTGTTAAGAAATAATGCTTCGCGTCTACGGAGCCCGACCCGTGGCCTCGCGTAGCTATAAGCAGCGCGCGTCCTCGCGAGTTAATAAACTTAATGTATATTAAGGTGCATTTTGGGCAACTTTTCGAAGTTAAATTTTAAAACGATTCCTATTAAATGCATTATTCTATTAGCTATAACCAAATTACTTGACCTTTTGGGATGAAATACTATTAATTACAAAGACATATATCGTCATGAACTTTCGAAATTTCATTTAACATTTTTTTTTTAATTCTAGAGGAAGTTGACCAAGAGTCGAAATACAGAGTATTTCTGCTTACACATTACTTTCGCATTCTTAGAAAAATTCGCCGTCTAGGAAACACTACCATTCAACAAATAAATTTGATGGGCATATGAGTAAAGCTATAGAATAATTAGTTACCTCTGTCAGATTATCAAACATCTCAGCCCTCAGTAGGAACTTTATGATTTCTAAAGCATCGAATGTTAAACTAACTTGCACTACTTGTATTAAATAATAATATAAGGTCTTTAATCCTAATATTCTTCTAATGGTTAATGAATTATATGTCATTACAATGCCAAAAATACTCAATGTAAAATCAATTACTAAACCTTGTTCAGAGTTATTCAGCTCTGAATAAATTTGTTCGGAATATGCCAAATAAAAGTAATACACATCTGTAATATATGTATAATATATTTTATTTTATTTACGAGGTCAGCATTTCATGCTCAGTACTCTTTAGGTTTGTCTGTCCAGCCCAGGAATTATTTCACGTGGTATGCTTCTCGGCCTAGCGGATATCAAAACACGATACCTTTCCATCGACGGAGTTTGACGTGTGATACGACCTAGTACTTTCACACTGTGCAGCATCAAAGTGACTGTCAACAAAATCTAGTAGCATTTATCCTAAAATTAAAACGGAATTATAACAGCAAAACTCTATGCATATGTACAGTATCTATTGGTTGAAAGTAATTGTAAGTAACCTTCTGAAACCTACCGAACTTCACTAAATCTTCAGCAGTTATATTCTCTACCCGGCAAGTGACAACTTTGGCAAGATGCAGCAATCTCAAAGAAATTCCACTAAACTTCCAATTAAGATTACAGTTTTAAATTATCGTGCTTACCGTAAAATTTAATTAAATCTCTTGTCTGAATGAGTATCGTGACGAGACGAAACACATAGGAATAAAATTGGATTTAAGCTGCTAGCACTTCTAAAGATCAAAAACCCGTGCAATCCCATTTCTAATCCTCGATTCTCTAACATGTTGCTGTTTTGCTTTCGCTTTTACTATTAATTGTTAGAAATGTCTAATTGTTGAAAATGAATAGGATACGTGCCACAAAAAAATTAATCATTGTGCCAACTTTGCTAAAATCATATTCAAAAAGGGTGATAAGTGCTTGTAGTTAGCAGAGATTTAGAGATCCATTTAGTGTTCTCAGTTTAGAACTGGATTTAGATTGAAGGGAAGCAAAATCCAGCAAATTGTGTTTCCCGTGTTTTTTTCAGCCATTTTATCTAACAACTCAAAAGCGTTAGTGAACTGGTTCAGATTTAAATAATATCAAGAGACATTCCATTTTTATTTGTATTCCAAATTGCGAAGATTTGAAAGAACAGCGAAAACATTTTTCCTATACTATTGTCTTGAAGGCAAAGTATTATCTATAACTCACTAGTAAAACTCCAAAAGTGTTTGCATTCTTTCTTAACATTCTTTCTTAATGACGTTATTTTGTTACAATGGATAACATCAAGGAAGCAAACAGTAAGTTTCATTTTATTCAAGCATGCTAGCATAATCCAAGCAGCCCATTTTACTGTTGGAATCCAGCGGTATATCAGGAAATAACAGCCGACAATGGTCTAAAATGTTCCATGGAATGATTAATTACGGCAAATTATTGCCTTTGGGAGGAGGCTTTGGATTTCTCAGAGATCAGGAACAGAAGAATAGTTACAGTGAACAGATTCAATATACAAACTTCCATCGGGAATTTAAATACATTTAAATTGAAGTAGGCTGCTAACAAATCCCTAAATTCTCATCTTGCATGCTTTTTTGGATGCAATTCGTGTATTATATTTTGTTTGTACATTAAAAATACTATTATGAAAATACTTCAAAATCTTTATAATATTTAAACAGTCTTTATAGCCAAAATTAAAGATACATTTTAAAATCAAATGTGAAGAAGCTATTGAATTTGCATTCATTATTTTATTATTCGACATCATACCAAAATTATTCCTTAGAAATAAAAATAGCTTCAAATAAAAAATATTTATAGTTTCAAAGATTTTCTTAATGAAACATATTTTTTCTTCTTTATTCTATGGGAATCCATTGTACATGGATATTATAATAGCACAGCCGAAATAAAAATTATTTTAGTTAAGTTTGAAGCAATAGAAGGGAAATGCTTACGAATCCAGAGATTTTCCTCTTTCTCTTGCTTCCCAACAAACTTTCATTTGTGGTACAGATGTCTCGACGCATCAATCACGTCTTTAGTTCTACCAATTATATGAAAGATTTATATGAGATATAGATTAGATCTTTCAGAACACAATAGTCAAGGTTTTTCCCATCAAATGAAAGACCTTCTCCTTCCTATGTCACAAATAAAAATGGAGTTTTTTATCCTTTCAATTATTCTCATCAATGAAATTTGTTTCACCCAAAAATTTCCGATAATATGCTTTTATTAACCGGTAGTTAACATATAAGTAGATGAAAACAAATGTTTTTAAATGACGAATTTACTAAGGAAATGCGAAATACAAATTTCTTTTAAACAGGTGTGACAATCGCTATGGTCATCCAAGGCGAAATATTTCCATGGATGAAAATTGGCATTTTTACTACCAGCTTAGTAATACATTTCACGGTGGTTCTTCAATAAGGTAACTATGTATCCAATAAACTGGTAATACAGAAACGAATACTTCAATTTTTTACAATACCATCACCACTGCACTTTTATCTACACTTTTCAATGTTCCCTGAATATCCATTGAATTGCTATAAATTGAGTGAACTGCAACGGACGCTGAATTGCATTCCGAAGTAATATTTGATAAACCGAGCATAAGCTTTATGGAAGCTTTAAATCCAGTTTTCAGTCAATTTTTAAAAGATATTTAAAAATAGTAGAAAGGATCTGTAGCCATGCATTTTTCAAGAAAGTTCAGAAGGAATTAAATAGTAGAAAGGATCAATACGGTATACAATACAGTAATTTTATTATTACTCATTAAAGCATCTTACACAGAATAGATTGAATAGAAGAGTCCACACCTTCGACTTATGCTATTAGAAATGTCACTTCTTATAACCATTCTAAAACAGTATGCAGCTATTTTAAACAGCATATTCTCGGTAGTACCTTGCATTATTGTGCTGGATGGTAACATTTGCATCCGGTAAATAGTAACATGTAGTGCTCTGAATTACACCTCGCACAAAAAAAAATGGGACAGTTCTGTATCATCCCATTCTAGTGGACTGATCGCCGAAATTTAACTTGCGTTTATTATGTCTCGTAAACGCGACTAAGGATATATGTTAGATTTATATTTAGCATTGTTCTAACATAGGTATTTTGAAACAAAATCGGACTTCTTCTGAAATAATATACCCATTTGTTTCCATATCTCG